ACCAATAATGTTTGCAGATCATTTGTCATTGTAAATGGGCAAATATCTACATTCTTCATTCTCATTCAAAAAGTCAAATGGAAGCTGAAATGGTGAGAGACAAAAGAAGACAATCAACAACAACGCAAAAGCAGGCAAGTGGAGTACTTAGGGGGTGATTAATGTGTATATATATACATTTATATTCTGTTTAGTAATTATAGTTATTTTGGTGCACTAACTAACCAGTCCCGTGATGCTAACTTTTATATTGTGTGAACTAATATTATTGTCCTGTGTAAAAATGTCTATCATGTACTTCCAATAATGTAAAATTTTATGATTGTAGTTTGTTGTAACTACACGTTTAATGAACTTAAAATATCTATGTAGGGTGAAAAAGAGGGTGTAGGATTCAGACGCAGAAGTGCATTGTCATCTTTGAGCAGTCTGGTGACTGAGGAGATGAACACTGCGAGTGTGTTTGCATCGCGCACATCAGCTGGTAGCCTATTCAAAATGACCGAAAACTTATTTAAGAAGAAATTATACCGCATGTAAGTCTGACAATGCTCTATAGCAGCTAGGTTGTGGTGATTTCAAAGATTGTAACTGATGACAGCGGTAGGTTTAATTATTGGCTCGGAGGAGTGCACGAGCAGATTAGTTAGCTTGTAGTAAAAAATCAGGTTTAGCTTAAGACGTCTTTTCCAGAGTGGTTCTAAACTTAGTCTGTCGCAACGTTCATAGTATTGGAGACCACTTTCTAAACCAAGAGTTCTTAAGGTGAATTGCCGTTGCACTCCTTCTAACTTAAGCTTGTCAATTTGTCTGAGTCCGCTAAGAATAAACGGGCAGTATTCTAAAATAGGTCGGACACATACTTTATATAATAAAACCCTAGTTTCACAACAAAAGAAATTGCGAGTTATGCATCCCAGGAGCCTTCGTGTTTTACGTCTGGCATAATCAGTTTGTTCAGAGAACGTTAGGTTACTAGAGTATCTGATACCGAGATCTACGACTGAGTTGAGCTTGGCTAGATTATAAAAGGCAGGATGAGCACTGCGAAAGAGTGGATCCAAACTTGATAACTGGCGGTGATATAACTGCGTATTTGGAAGCTAAGGTAGCAGTCAATATAAGTTGAAGTTGATGAGTGGTATAATATCCACTACAATATTCCAGAAATCAGTAAAAATATATCCACGATATGGAGAGAGATTGTGACGTCCGATCAGAGTCGCGCGCCGAACAACTATTAAGGGGAAGACCACGGGCTGCTGGATGGACGGATTATCCCCATGTCTGACATATGTTTGAACTCGGCCTTTACGGTTTGTAGTTTTTCTGGGGACAATCGCCGTGGCTTTGCAAATACCAGTGGTCACGATATGATGAGTGACAGTAGAAGTCACACAAGGAAGTTTGGAAACCGGTTTGAACAGGTTGGCAAAGGACTGGAGAACATCAGCGTAAGGGCCGTCAGAGGCAGGGGTTGAATATACTGGACTTAATGAAGGTGTGTGCGTCACAACACCGGAGATCGAGAGGTTTGTAGCTGAATCGATCAATTTGTGTTTGCCAGTATCTACCGGTAGCTGATAATGTTGTAAGAGATCCATGCCAATAATACCGGTGGTTACATCTGCCACTAGGAAGACCCAACGAAATGATCTACGTAAGCTTATGTTAAGATCTAAGAACTTTTACCGTACGTTGTGATTGGCGAACCGTTTGCGGCGCGAAGCTGTAAGGAAAGTGGCTTCTGGCGCTCTTCAGATGTCGGTGGAATCACGCTAACTTCCGCCCCAGTGTCAACCAGGAAGCGTGTCCCAGTGGTACGGTCGGTAACATAGAAGAGGCGACATGGAGTTTGTTCGCCAGTGACGTTAGTCGCCAATACGTGCTGGCTTACTGGTTTCCCGATTGCTGGAAATCGGAGGTGCACGGGCGAGTACACCTTTGGGCTTTGTCACCATAACTCCGGTGATACCAGCAGACTCTATTTAGGGAATTATGAGACCTACGACGCCTGCTGCAAGCTCGTGAAGATCTACTACGAGTCGAGTTGGTGCGGCTATTCGAGCGACCTCTAGGTGTCATCTCCTGACTTAACTTATCTATCTCCTCATAAAGCTTAGTTATGTAGGCCGCCACATCTAATTTTGATGACCCGTCGGCAGAGGAGTCCTTAGTCTGAATGGGACTAGCGGTTACGGCCATCCCGCGAACAAGACGATATATAAATAGAATGATAACTACAAATATGATAACAAAAAATATGAGTAAAAACAAGGCAAGTAAATTTTATAACTGTGTGAAAAACAAATTGCCAATATGAAAAAGGACTATTCACACATTAAGCTACTATGGAGGCAAACGGTGAAAACTCGGGCTCACCACTTGTAACAGTTACACTTGGGTTAACTTAGACCTAAATTAGCCACTCTTACAAAAACTTATTCACCGCTTTATGACCTTAATTGTACCCTGCCTAATGTGCAAATACTAACGAACTGAATCCAGGTAAAAAGACTTGAGATGACTGGAACAGAGTTATATTTATACAAAAGCAATATGAGATTTGATAGAATAAGAGGGTATACACTTATCTGCAGTCGAGACGGTGGTAAGCCTGGAGAGTGTGCTAGATGAAAGCACAGCGAGAGAGCGGAACCGAAACCGTACAGGAGATTCACGAATCCAAAGAGGAAGTGGGGTTAAAGGTCAGGTGAGTTCGTTCAAACAAAAGTTCGGAGGTTCAATGTACACTTCACTTCCAAAAGCTATCAGAAACTGTCAATGTCAAGGTCTAGCTACCCTGGACTTAACGCTGTTCTTAGAAAACTTTCAGAAACTATTGTCAATAACCAACGCGATAAACCAGAACACAAATTGGCCATTCAAGAATCCTATATTCTTGCGCCAATACGGAACCAACCACAAGGTTATTGTACACAAAGTCTAAAGATAAATGTTATAACAATTAATCACAATAATACTTCTGATAGCTTTTCTTTGTCTGCTAACAAACAGCGAACGATAGAACGATGGCTGCAGTATCGATGACTCCCGCCAAAATATGGAGTGGGGTTTGAGCAAACAACCATGAATTGATCGTTCGTTCTTCAACTACTTTGACAAGTGTTATCGATCAGTTACAATCAGATGGTAAATAAGACGAGTGTTAATATTACTGTGTACTGCATATGTATACTGTACAGTTAGTATTACTGCATAACACTGTGTGATTTATAAAAATAAAATCTTATCCATAATGAAGTCGAGTTGCACTGATTTTGTGATTTCTCCGAAACACATTACGATGCTGCATTCCACTTATGGATCAAGGCAAAACACAGGCTTTCGTGCAGATGTTTTCTCTGTTCCTAAGCTGAAGTGGCACTCAAAAAGTCAGCAGCTGTACCCACATTAGGATTTGGCGCAGCATTACTGAATGCCCAAATGGGCGAAGTTTCAAAGAAGAATATTCCAGATTGTCCGGTACTGTGTTAAAAACAAAGAGGACCAGAGGACATCAAAAGAGATATATCACCGTTTCACGAGTCCCCGAGAGTCCACATATTGGAAAACTGCAGCAGTGTGGCTATATGTTATTGAAAAGATGACTTAGACCTATCTAATAAAGTTCAGGTGACAGCTTCACGCACAACTTCCGATATATCTGATTTACCAAATGAGAAGTGACCAAAGTGACCGGATATATTCCCGTCGTGCATTAGAGCATTTGAGGACATAATTAGAGTGTAAAGCATCTCAATGAAAGACAGTGGGCCTAATCTTTTCGCTATGCACTTCCCACTATGTATAAACAATCCAAAGAGTACAGGAAGTGAATGAAAATACCATGGAAGAACTGTTTTGTTCGACAGGACAAGCAAATGAATTTCAGGAGCAGCTGTCATGAAGAGTCAAGGTTTGTGCCATTATTTAGAGTTTTTAACTCGGGAAATAGAGAAATATGAGCTTACTATGAAAACATTGATGTTTATTATTTACGTTTTAGAGCTCGAATGTGAATGCTCATTCCAAAATAATTCCACTTATTATTATGGGATTCGTAAAATTTTTAAATTTTTTATGTGCTTTTTCCCTAGCTTTGACAACATAATCTTGTGGTGGAACTTAATTTTTCACATTTCAATCTTGTTATTGAATATTGAATGACATAACTTCACTTTTCTTTAAACACATCAGTCGTTATCGTTAAGTGATTAGAGGCGTGTTTTCTTCCGTGGAATTCTCTCCGAAGGTAACTAAGTTATTGGCAGTTATTCAGTTATTTGCTGGTGATAACCCATTTAGTACAGATGATTAAATCCCGTCAGGAGATATTAGATTACATAGTCTTATTTTGTTTTGATATATTTTAAAAAGGATATCCACATGGTCGTCTACTCTTATCGGAAATGCGCTGAATTTCATTAGAAAATGTAGTGAATAAGCTTTGATTGAGTAAAAACTTGTTACAGTGATGGCTCTAACAGGTGAAGCCAAAATTTAATTTTTCTCCGGCACACAAAAGGCATCAGCAAACATGTTTCCCATTTTTTCCGTACACGATAAAATTTGTTTATAATAGTGACAAAGACGCACATGACATGTAGTTACGAGTCTTTACTGAGATGGCACTATATAGTCGAAATATTTATGTTCTTATTATTTCTGACTCCGAACGTTAGTCTCTTAATCTGCATGCTTGTAAGTCCTGTTGAAAGATAAGAAGACAACCATGACATTACTTTGGATTTCTATGGTAACTGGGTCTGTGCCTACACATCTATAGTTAAAATGAATAATTCCCTACTGGGTCATCTCGTTATTCTTATAGTTTTAATTTCATCAGAAGCATAAATAACACGAAATTCTTAGTGTACGTCCGTGTGTAGAATTGCACAGTATTTGCATATATCTATAATCGTTTTCTAATTTACTCTAACTGAAAATGATACATCTTCATTTTAGAAATATTTTAAAATCTTGAATATCTCTGTCGAATGGATTTCCGAGAAGTGATTGCTGCTGATATAAATACTTTGCAATCAAGGTTGACCGACCTCTTCAACATTTCTAGAAATGGAGTGCCTTTAGCATTTCTGCAAGAGTTGTGCGATGTTGTAAGTTTCCTTAACTTTCAACATTTCTTTCATATGCTATTTTTGAATCAGAATAAATTTTACAAGCAGATGTTCTTAATATGTTTCAAAATCTTATCTGTATTATTTCCGGTCAACGTGATTATTTTGATAAAGGATATTGAGCTGTAAAATGCGTTTAAACCCTAGCAAAATAGCTCAATTTCGCATAGTAGTTCTGAATTCCAATTAAATTTAATTACACTGGCGGAGAAGTAGATTCTTAAAACCCTTCTATTGCTCGAAAATCGAAGGGATAATAGTTAACCCCACTTTTTAAGTATCCTTGCTGGTGTCTTACGGCAAAATCAAGTTCGAGGAAGGGATTTGAAAGCAGTTTATACTCTTTTTTGGATGATCAGCTGCCTTATCCCCACTGTTCATGAAGTGTTAGAATAAATCGATTAAAGAGGTAACATTTCCCAACTTGCTCCACTTAAGTTTTCCGCCTGTTATAAAGTATTTTTTCCCTGAATGACTACTAATGCTGTCACATTTGCCTGACATATCAAATAGACATAGAAGTAGCAACTGTCCCCGTGTTTCCAACTGCTTATTGCATATCTGCTTAACTCTTTTACTATTTCATTCTTCATCACCTTTTTTACTGCTAGTACTTTTCCCCATGCAGTTGCCTATATTTTTTGAAACTCTGATATCCTTACCAACAATCCCATTAAACTAAGCACTGTTTATACTATCTTAAAGCCAAATCACCAACTGCACACCGGTGATTTGAACATTCAGCCGTTGTGCTTAACTGGATAAAGAGTTCTGTAAACCTAAAATCCAGCATTTCGTGCTATAGATGCTTCTTACATTTTTGAGGTGTACTTGTGGCTTGCAGATTTCAACTCTTCATTTCCGGCTACTGGAACCCTCCACAACCCTTACGGAGGCTTTTGCAGCGAAGTGGTGTAATTAACCTTCCCAATACACGTTACTCAAAGCAGGTTGCGTGTAAATACAAGGCCTAGTTATGTTTATTTACTTAACTCAGCTTAGCCAAGCTTCTACACTTAATGGATACTAGAGTAAATATAACACTAAGCCGTACATACAAGAAACTTACTTCTCATTCCGATCGTACTTGTGTAAATATGCTTTTGTTGGCTGGTAAAACGACTACTTATATCGAGGAAGTTATTGTTACAGTCCCTGTGTATTCTTACTCTGTAGGCGTTCTGTATTTTTACTATGAATGTACTCTATTGTTTTAGCTTAATTCATTCCAACATGAATACCGGTCAGCATTAAAACAATTCAAATTGAGAACAATAAACTTATTGGTCGTCAGAAATGTGTACAAAAGTTCATGCGATACGAAAATTGGTTTATGGATTGAAGAACTAAATGATTTTATCTATAAATTTGAAGTAAGAGTATATCAGTTTCTACTATTTTGTACGTTATTAACATTTTACTATTCACATTTACTATCTCTTTCATGTCACCCACAGGTATAAAGCTCGCGTTTTCAATCCGAGTTCCACCTGAGCAATGGCATGGCGCGAGATGTCACTCATTGGCCTCCTCAGCATGTGTCTGATGCATCTCCATTCCCTTTGGCATATTTGTTGAACAATAGGTTCTTGATAGCATTATTTGAAGACGGAGATTATCTGAAAAATGTGATGTATTTGCGCTATACATTTCGAACAATCTGATCACACATTTACTTGTCAATTCAATATATATCAAAATTTATATAAGGGACTAACTGTTTTAAATAGGTTCTTGGTTGGTTCATTCCAAGAGTTCGTTGTTGCTGATCCTCGCCAGACACCTGAATATAAGTATAAAGAGAAGGCAGTTGTTGATAAAGGTTTGCAGCAGGTTGTTGGAAATGTTTTCCATGACGCGCATATTTAGTCTCTGGACCACATAAAAGTATTGACTTAACACTGACGTTGAAAATCTGAATTTTGCTCTCTATGCTGAGTGCAGCAAATTTATAAATTGGTTTTAGAGTAGTGGCTTTGGAATCTTCATCCATGCTGTCACCTGTAGTTCAGTCAATGTTACCTAGATAAGTTAAGTAGGTCACTTCCTTCTAATTTTTCCGTTGAAGGTGAGTAGTACTTGTCGTCGCTGGTCAGGTGTCTTCATCATCTCGGTCTTCTCTATGTTTACTTTAATTCCTGTTTTCGATGACTGTATCTCCTGAAAATTTGTTGGTTTTCGCCTACAGATCTTCGAGTTTGTGTGACACTAGACATATATCATTCGTGGAGTCTGGAACTCTTTTTCAGAAGATTAGTGTTCACTGACTGTTCTTTGGATGTTGGTGGTACTTCTGGGAAAGTTGCAGGTGGCGATCCATTCAAGAGTCCTTTGAAGTAGTCCTCCTGGCATTTTCTTCTCTCTTCCTTTTTGGTTTTTAGGTTCCCTTCACAACTCTTCAATGATTTCAGTGTGCTGATTTCTTCCTCGATAACTACCTGTTTATCTGGTATAGTAATGTGAGGTCCCTCTTACCTGTATTCTGTTCCGCTCCAGTTGCCAGTGTGCGTAGAGTTAGTTGTCTTCTATTTTTCCTAGCACTCTTCTTTACTTCTTTATATAGTGAGATGTACGCTGAACCGAACTTCTTCTTCTATTGTCCATCTTTGCATTGGTTCATCTTCTGTTCCACCATCCTTTATCTTCTATTAGCTTCCAAGTGTCCGTTTAGAGCCTTTCCTTGTCTTTCCTCTTCTTCCTTACTAAGACAGCTGTACAGGCTTCCTCCAATATCGCTTTCAAAGAGTTCTAGTATTCGTCTATACTGGTATTCTGAGTGATGCTACCAAATATTATAATGTTTTCTGGTAATTACTACGGTCTATTAAGCGGCAGTTTGTCAAATTTAAAGGGGAAAAGGTTACTCGATGTTCGAAAAATATAGCAGCTGTTCTGTATCACAAATCACGAGAAGTGGTTAACCATTGGGAATTGGATTCTAACCTACTGACTTAAAGGTTATTTTTGTTGTCTTGGCGTAACCTAACGGTTCTGACTTCTGTTCGCATTGATGTCGAGAATGCACACTGGCAAAGAGTTCTTAACTGGGATGAAATGATGGCGAAGTGGTGTTTGGTTTTCCATAGTTCTTGGATGATTTGGATATGTCATGGAATCTAGAGTCATCTTAGTCAATCTCTCATAAACCCAATGTCTGGGGATTACAGCGCTAGACAGAGAGGATAGGTAAGAGAACAAATAAACACGATTGCGACCTCATTTATTTCCGGCTGGTAGCCCACAAATCTTAACACTATTGGAACTGGTTGCTAGGCTCCTTACCAATTTGTCAGTTGATTCCCTACACTGATGAAGCTTTTATAATGCACTAGAGGGGTGTTCAAGCTATTTAATACATACGCTGTTCATCTTTACCTATGCAGTTTAATTTTTGGGGAATATATTCTATCGTCTGTAAAAAGCGACTCACATATAGATGAAAACAGCCTTCAAACGTATTAACTGTCTATTCATGTGTTAGTTGCTTCTTTACACATATTATCCACTTGTCTAGTTATGATCCATTTCATGTGTAGACAGTATTTAAACTTATTCATTCATTTGTTTTACTTTATTTTGACATCTACAGGACTTGAAAAGGTCTCTAACTATTCTACAAAGTATTATTGAACCGTCATGCGAGCTTGTATATCGTCTGAACAATGATAATCGTTTTTCATTTGGATACGCTCAAGACGAACAACTGATGTATCTATTAGACAAATTGAAAAGCCTGACAGGATGATTAAATCTGGTAGCTGCAGAGAAAGATGTAGGTCACATGACTCACTGTATAATATTATTGTATCGTTACTCTAAAATATCATTTCGCTGAGTAATATACTTTTAGTTTACTATTCTATCGATCTACTTAACACCTTAGGCTTATTATTATCATTTAATTTCTTTCCGTTCTCGGTGCAACATAGGGCTTCAAGCTAGAAGCTTTAATTTTCGGTAACAGTGGTGTTTATTTTTACAGGATCGGGTTGCTAGCCCCATGCCCAACCTTCCCTCTTCACTGGCTTAGCGAGGTAAAGGAGTACGTTGGTGGCCGGGGATCGAACCCCTATCCGCCTGCGTGGTTGGCGAGCATTCTACCGCTGTGCTAACGACTTCAGCAGTATGCACTCGCCGCGGTTCCAACCCATGACTCTCTGGTTACAAGGCGAGCTAGCTCTTAGACTATTAAGTCACTGGGACCCTTAGGCTTATAAGCAGTCATTAAAATTCTTGTGATCTTTGTCCAGTGTCTCTTGCCACTTGAGAACTGAGTGTCTCTGAAACGTTTAGGATATTACCTACGCTCTCCTTCTGGGATTATTTGTTCTGGAACTACATTATCCATCTTCTTTCGTCCCAATACATGTAAAATCTTTGACTGTTGCATAATTTCATACTTGCAAATTAATACATATTTATAAATTTACAGATGAGAGAAGAGGTTGCTTGGCAGGCACTTGACTGATTTCAAATTTGATCACTGTTCGATCTCTAGTTGGGTTGTGAGCACATACTGTGAAGAATCTCAAACAAAGACTAAACAGTTAGTTGTCCAGTACTGCCTGGTTCTCAGTGGTTCACCAAATGAAGTCAGTTCGTTATCTAACTTGGACCCTGTATTAGATCCTTTCTTTCTTATGAATCACTGAACTGATGAGAAGGACCTATTTTATGTCACGTAAGATTTTCAAGGCTGTAAGCAGAGTTAACAGTGTGAGCGAATGTTTATCTGTGTAAGCTTTAACTTCTTCAGCAGAATTATTCAGATTTTAATAAATATTAAGATTTATGGTGAAATGGTCAGAGGGGGTACTTATGGTGTATAAACGCTACTGGGATAAGCTAAAATCTAGTAGCTGAAGCAATAAACTACACTTCCATTAACGTTTCTTCTTAAAAACCCTGGGCATTGTTGTTAAAATAGGTTTCTAATCAGAGAAGTATTTTGATAGAGTATTTGTGGCTTTGTTTTATTAGTCCAGAAAATCAATAATCCTACACAGGATAAAATACTAACTCTTGACCCAATCACTGAACACACATAACTTTATGTGTACTACATCAGGAACTGACAAAAATTAAATATCATGAGCCATTGGATCCCATCTAAAGCATTTAGAATAAAACATTCTCCCCCATAAGGCATGACTGTCTTCGACTAAATCTCTGACGTCTTCTTTTAGATATGTGTTGCGAAAGAGTTTTGGATTAGAATGGAACAATTATTCAGCATTTCCTAATATTCAATGTTAATTTTTTCAGGTTTGTTCATGAGTTGACATCAGTTAAAGTGAGAACCTTTGAAAAACCAGCACTGGAGTTCTCTAACTGATATCAATTTGTGTTCAAACCTGTAGCCAATTAAATCAGCTTCTGTTTGACTCACTGAGAACGGATATTCACTGACACCTATGAAGTGTCATATACGCCTAAAACAAATGTGATTTTATGCAGAATAAATTAAATCTTGTCAGCTCTACAACCTTTTTTTAAATTATTTATTTATTTATTTGACAGACCATTGTTTATTAGAAGTATTGACCTATTATATTTACTACCAGTAGAAGTATGGCTACAAAGTTCACTAGCATATATATGCATATTTATGTGTATATATAGACTCATACGTACACACAAGCATTTGGGTTATATAACAGACTTAACTAGCAAAATAGCAGGATGATGAATATCTGCCTATATGCCAAATAAATAAAATGACAGTAATTCGAATTCAGGATGCTCATTTCATCTTAATTCACACTCGTCACCTGGATGTACCTGAATTCCCTGGCGAGTGATGGTGTTCCTATTGAGGCTGGAACCTAGTACCCTTCGTTTCAAATGCCATGGAGTCATCCACTAGACCACTCGGACTTCACCTGAGGTAGCCTGGCACAACATACAGTTACCTGTGGACACAGCTGTAAAAGCTGTTAATAACCTAAAACCTAAAGTTAGTAAGAGCCATCGGATTTCTACCGCCTCATCCGAACTGATTGACGCGAGAAGACTGGTCCCACGAGCTCCGACTATGACGAGGAGCGAAAGCTACTCAAACGCAAACTAGCAAGAAGTCTTCTCAACGACCGTGAACAGTGGTGGGCGACAAAAGTGAAAGAGATGGAAAAGACATCGGCGATTGGCAACACAAGACAACTATTTAGGCTTATCTGGAAAACAGGTAGTGAAGGGGAAATGATAAGTGAAATAATCTCTGAGAAAAATGGTACCATAATTAGCTCTCAGAATAGACGACTGGAACTCTGGAAAGAACACTATGAGGAGCAGTTTAATTGGCCTACAGCCACGCTCAACCTGCCGAACATCCAACGCCTCCTTGAATGAAACATAGACACAGGTCCTCCGTCCCTAACTGAGGTTACTAAGACGGCCACTAGTCTGAAACGAGGCGAAGCAGCAGGACCTGATGGAATGACTCCGGAAGTATTTAAGTAGGGTGGAGACAGTTTACTGTCTGCATTAGCCGAGGTACTAGGCAGCGTCTGGGGATCGGAGGAAGCACCATCGGGTTGGCGTAAGACACTGATTATCCATCCCCATATACAAGGAGGGAGACAAGTCTTCCTGTGATAATCACAGGTGTATTTGCTTGACTAATATAGTATCTAAAGTCCTAGGCTCAATAATCATGCGTAGACTAAGTGGTGCTCGGGAGGCACAAACACGAGAGAACCATGCAGGCTTTAGACCAGGAAGAGGGTGTATTGGTCATATCTGCACCCTTCGACAGATTCTAGAACACAGGCATATTCACCACCGGCGTCCAAAAATCATTATATTTCATGATCTAAAGGCGGCATTCAATTCTGTCGACCGAGAGGTACTCTGGCGAAGTTAGGTTGTGAAGGGAATGCCGAGAAATACATTGTACTGATCAAGGCAATCTACTCGAATTCATGTAGCCAGGTGAGAGCTTATGGCGAGTTGTCATCTGAAATGGTGACAACTAGTTGTGTCCGACGGGGATGCCCACTATCTCCGTTTCTATTTAATTTCATCATAGATGTACTAATGGACTTAATCCTAACCGCTGACTTCAGAGACTCAGGGATTGAATGGCTTGTTACCAGGGAATAATCTCGTTGACTTAGAATATGCAGATGATATAGTCCTTCTAGGCGAGGACGCTGAAAAATGCAGAGTCTTCTGTACACCTTGAGCTGCAATCTACGAATGTTTGGCATGTGATTCGCTCCCACCAAATCTAAGATGATGCTATAGGACTGGACTGGACTTCATTGACTCCTAGTTTAGAAATAGGGAGTGAAGTGGTAGAGCACGTTGATCGCTTCACTTATTTAGGAAGTACCATCAGCCCCAACAGGTTCATCGCTGACGAAATCTCAGCACGAATACAGAGGGCTAGTTTCGCATTTGCCAGTTTACGCCGTGTCTGGCGTAGACGTGATATCCGGCTAGCTATCGATCAAAGGACGTGTGTACTGCTCAGCAGTCCGCTCCGTCCTTCTTTATGGCTGTGAGACCTGGCCATTGAGAGCGGAAGACATGAAAAGACTATCTGTCTTTGATCATAGGTGTCTGCGTTGTATCTCCCGTGTGAAGTGGTATATTACGATGAGCAATACTGAGATTAGGCGTCGGTCGAGTATTAGGTGAGTTGGTAGGGAAATCAATCGACTAGGCTGTGAAGCTACATCGACTGAGGTGGTCAGGACATGTGTTACGTATGCCTAGCCTTCCTCGACGGGCAATGTTAGCTGATATAGGGTCAGGCTAGAGAAGAGCTAGCGGTGATCAAACCAAAACATGGCATCAGTCAATGAAATCCACGGCAGTTAGTTGAAGCCAGCCACGTAGACTTCCTGGTTGGAGTCCCCATAACGGTAAAAACCAATGGAGGCTGGAGACAATTGGTGATATGGCTCAAAATCGTTCTCATTGGCGCAGATGCATCCACTCCTTGTGACTTATGATTTCCAATGAAACTATATTGTTCTTTATTATTACTATTCCTTTGTCTCTCACCTCTGTTTACTGTCTATATTATGTATTTCTTCTACTTTCTTCTCTTGCTTTGTGTGCTACATGGAGTGTGGCGACTTGAACTGCCACACATCGGTGCAAAGTTCTATGTCGAATACAGACAGACAGACAGACGGACATGAGAGTCACCTCTTATGCAACACGTGTCAGTTATTACTCATTTTCAATTCAGTTTTGGTTTTCCCTTTGATTGAATAACCCGAAGTGTTCGGCCTCAGGTACGTACAGGTGACAAGTTCGAAATAGGACGAAATTCTCATCCTGGATACCACTGCTAGTCACCGTTTATCACATTACTTCAAAGAAAATGATTATTTTAAGGCTGATTTCCTCACGTATCGACAGGTTAAGGACTTCAGATGGCTGTATTTGTCTGACCATGCCTGTCCATGATTTGTTGCCTATGTGTAGTGAAATCACGGAGTAAAAGACTATCAGACTTAGAATGAATGGAATTCAGCTATCAGAGTTATGAAGTCGCCTGAGCCAGAATAATAGGAGGTATTTTTTCTCCTAGTTAAACCACACGTGCATCCTAGATTTAACTGCAAGCCACTATCAATCGAGTAACTTCAGAAATTAACTTATGAAAATTAATCTGATTTTCGCTGCCAGTGACAGTCTACAGGATGAAGTTGCTTGGAGTTCCACTGAGAAGTTGTGACCGGTGGGGTCCATCCGATCGATTGTGAGGACAAATGCTCACCGATGTCATTGACTTGTGCTATTCGCGTTAAATATGTCACAAAATGGCAGAAGTTAGAATTCATGGGCTGGCGATTGGGTCGTTTCCCAGTGACCGAATGGTCTACTAGCTCACCTTGTGACTAGACGATCCTGGATTTGTACTGCCGATGAGTCCCGAACTAGGACGAGGCAACAGGCTGTCCAGTACTCCAATGATGGTTTTCCCAAGGTTCTCTAACTGTTATCGATCAGTGTTCAAACTTGAAACAAATCAAATCCCTACAAACTAACTCATGAAAATTCCAGATTACCCATGGTTTAAATCTTCGCTCACGATTTCTATGGGATATTGATTCCACAGTGTTCAATCTCTGAGGAATAAGCAAATGTCATAATCTGTGATTATTTACCATTCTTTTTATTTCAGAATTCTAAGCGGACCGGAGCCAACTCACACGATGCTGAATATCGTTTTCAGTATTCAACTTCAATAGAAGCCTCAGATTTACATCGTGATTGTTATCAATCCTCCTACTGTTCAATGCCAATTAATGAAAAGTGTGTGTCAATACAGAATTTACAATATGTTTATTACATTGATAAGTAAGTATAATACATGGTTGAATATGGTTTTATTTATTTCGCTATGAATATAGTCTACGTTTAAAACAAACAATTCACTACTGGCGTGATTAAATGCTCCTGTGTCAACCAACTAGTCCCAAAATTAATTTTAAGTTTCCTATCAGGAACCCTAAAATATCAGACCAATGAGACATAATGCAAATATGACTGTGGCAGTTTCGAATCCTGCTTAGCCATCATGGCCCCACCATCTACATCATCTTTGCTAACCGGGTAGTTAGTATCCATCGTCAGATATCACACAATGAGTGTAACATTGTGGTCTTGTACGCGAGAAATCTTCTCTAAGTAATCTAGTTCCCAGTGATTATTATTCTGAGAAGGTACATATTCACTCAGACTGTTTCTTATTGCTAGTGTAATAAAGAATATATTTTTTTTGTAGCCTCTTTTCAATGCTATACAGTTATATAGCGCTGTAAAATGCCATGGAAATGCCTATATATTATTATAAAAATTATTGTTCCCTTGGGTTCCAAGTGGAACAAAAGGCTTCAGCAGCACATCTTCAGCTCGTTCTACTCTCTGCAGTTCCCTTTTGCTGACCTTACGGTTGTTCATCCTATTCTGACAATCTCCCCCATGTCAACTGCGGACTAAAACCAAATTATTCGTTCACCACTCAGTGATTTGCCTGTCGTGGAATGTCATTCGATGGTCTCCTCGTCGTGTGTCTGATCCATCTCCACTTTCTCCTGCTTATTTGTTGAACAATGAGATCTTGGTTGGTTCGTTCCCAGAATTTGTTGTTGCTAATTGTTTCCAGTCAACCATTTGATCTTCAGTTTGGAGTCAGAGAAGACTGGTGTTGACAAAAGTCTGCAGCAGCCTTTTGGAAATACCTCTCGTGACACACTGGCAGTGTTTCTGATCCATATAAGAGAAATGACTGACTGACTTAACATTGGTGTTGAAAATCTGAAAGTTTTTGTTTATGCCTTGGACGAGTACAGAAGATTTTTATAAAGATTTCAAAGTGATGAAGGTCTGTCTTCTCCTTCTGATCCTGGCTGGTTTCGACATCCTCATCTGTGCTGTCATGTGTAGTTGAAACGATGCTGCCTGGCCAGATAAGTGAAGAAAATGACCTGATTCAAATTCCTCCAGTTGACAGTTACTGGAGCCGGTTGTTTTTACGTTGTTGGTTGGTTTTCTTCATCATATCCATCATTTGCTTATTCAATTGAAGTCCTAACATCGCTGACTGCTTCTTCCTCCAGCTGGAAGGTTTCCGCCTCTAAGTTCAATTCACTAGTTCTCTGGTTTTCCAGTTGATCCTGGACCCTGGAAAAGAGAAAGAGATGGGCTTGAAGTTACCGACCCTACCCCAGGAAATCGATCCAATCTCTACAGAAACTGTAAAGCCTTTATACCAGTCAGTCATGAATGTCAGGTTACAAGAAAAACGTGTCATTAGGAATGCATTAATTGCATTAGTTAGTTATGTGTCTTACACTTACAACGGTCTCAATTATGCATGACTCATTTTTGCAAGATCAGACTATTTATCATTTGTCCATTAATGAAAATATATTTCAGATGTAATAGTAAAATAGTGGTGGCTGACTAAGCTCTGGTTACAATTTTTACGTAAATATGTGATGAATATTCACCTTGCTCTCGCTTTTGTTTTTTCTTTTTTAAATACGATTTTGACTGATATTACATTTGTCTTTCCGATTAGGTGAAGATATGCTTAAGTGCATTATCGATTAATTGTTTGATGATGACATGTTGGTAGTTTATTACTTTCAGTCGGTAGAGTATGGAGAGTTAAACAGTTCCGTATTACGTAATATAGCGCACTGATCTGAAAATAGGATCAGTCTGTCTCACTGGCATGAGTCATATTCAACCCTTCCATTTTGGTATGGATGATTACGTAATGACTAGGTAACCTGAATTTATTGAACTGCTGGCTTATCGTAAATTAATGCATTTTTTTGTAGTATGTCGCGAAATGTTAACCATTCGTGACTTGACCTCTGTCCTTTAATGCATACATGTATTTTAGAAGTAATAGTAATATTGACTGACTCATCCCTGATTACAGCTCAAAAGGAAAAGAAGACTATGTGATGAATATTCAATTTGTCTTTGTTTTTGACATGATTTTGCATGAAATGAAGTCAAGATATGTCCGAGTATAACTCTGATTGACCGAAAATATATTAGGAGTTTATTAGGATTAGTCATTGGTGTATGATGAGTAATTCTGTAGGACAAAACATTTTGATCCGAAATACTACTGATAATGTCATATGAGTAATCAAGGCGCATTCGCTTCAAAAAATAATGCTTTCTACCTACATCGAAATGATCTCAACACTGGGCTGTGGTTTTGCTCGCTTTAGGTCCAGTTCATCCGCTCAGAGAGCTGAATCACACCAAACGATCCTAATTCCGGCCAGCTACTTCAGCTAATTGGGAATACAAAGAATGTAATTCGTCATTTGCAAACTACGATGTGTTGCTTTGCAAGTATTTGATTCGTTACATGATTAATCACGTGTTGACATCCGATTACTAGGGAAGGTCGTAGACCATTCAGTCACTGACTCCCTACCCAATGGTCTTAAATTTCGACTTCTACGAATTATATATATATATATATATATATGTATATGGCGCTACTGCCAGTTGATGTTGCAGGCGAGTAGCTGTCCTCTTGCTTGAATTGTGTCTGATTTCTGTGGCTGAACGGTCTACGAGCTCGCCTCGTAACCAGAAGGTTCTGAGCTCGAATCGCAGTGTGTGCGTACTGATGAAGATTCCTAAACCAGAACGAAACAAATGTTCAGTCCTCCCAGGTTTTTCAATGGTTGTCTAAATGATTCGGAAATCAATCAATTCGAGGTGAGAAATTACTACGGTCTCCAAGATATTCAGGCCTCAAGGGATGATTTGCCAGATAGCATAAGTGGTAATCAAGAAAGCAAACGAAAAGCATGACGGTTCACAAAGCCGATTGTTATGCGTAGCTGGAAACCATGTACGTCGAACAGTAATGCCTGTTAATCAGATGCAAGTTACTGAAATTGATTTGGAATTCGAAGCTGAGTGTCAGTTGGAAAAAGCACTGATGAATTCAGGCTCAAATGAGCGAAATGTCTGCCTAGTGTTTAGGACATTTCAATTTGACTAGTAAGCACTGCTTATTGGAAAGAGTAGTTTCTAACTACTCAAATCAATGAATCAGTAGTATATAGAGTAGTGTTTCATAGTATCGTGCTGTTTCGCTTGTTTTCTTGCTTTCTGTCCATCGTACTAAGTAGATCAAAGATTGAGTTCTGAGTATTTTTGGTTTTTAAGATGGGTTTTTCACCTCGAACTGTGTGATTTGCAAATGAAGAAATTAAATCGAAAACTGTAGTCTAGCCACTAAGTGATTCAAAAGTTCAGCAAAATATTCTTGCTAAAATTCGTAGTTGTTTGACCTCAGGTGGTCATGTACAAAGCATGTAACAACGAAAGCCCAGGTCTTGACCGACGTAAAATTTAGTAAAACTAATGATTTTCAGGAGGAGGTTGTTAATTGAAATCTTTCTTCCTAATTGGCTTCTTGACACAGATTCAATTTACTGAAGGCAGTTTCTGCGTTCATCAAGCACTCTTGTGAGACCTTCAGTGATGTCTTCAAGCATTATGGCTTATCAGTCTGAGAATCCCTGTCCTTTCATATTCTGCTTTCCTGCCTCGGTGATTTTCGGTAAAATGTTTGTACTTAACCGGACATCAGCAATAGTGGTACATACATTTAGGTCAACAACAGAAATGGAGTTATGGTAGGCATAGTTGAAGATAAACGTAACTCTGAGCTAGATAATTCTACTATCAATTTTTAGTTCTCGTTCTAGACACAAACACAACAACAGAAATTTTATGAAGAAGTGAACCGCTGTAGGATTTCTCAGATTATGAAGCAAACACAAATAAGTAAATATACACATCTGATCATATTTTTGATTGGACACTAGTCAGTAACTAGTGTAATGTTTCTAGTCCTTTGTGTGGTGCAGACTGAATTCTATCAGTCAGTCAAGTTTACAATGTAGCCACCAATAGACTATGTGGTTTGCCATAACGGTGCACTGTGATTTGTTGTTAATAGGTGATTGGAGGCAATCTACAGGAAGCCTTGGACCTGGGTGTCGTGCTAGTTTGCACTCACTAGTGAGCAAGGCGTATCTGCAATCACCTTGAAGGAACTCATGTCCGTTCTGAGATTTAGACTGCAGCGCTGAATGATGAGTGTTCGAGTGTCAGAAGTGACATGAGTTGCTTCAAGTCGTTTTTATTTACGCCTGGCTGATGTGTACAAAGTAGCACTAATCCCATTTCCAGTGCTTCCTTCCGATTGCCTCCTTCCATCTAATACATCTGATGATAGACAGAATTAAAAAGCTGGTTACAGAGAAGAAAGGCTTTCTTTTCTACAGTGTCATGAACTAGATATCTGTACATCGCTATATATATATATATATATATAAAGCCGTACGAAAGTTTTTGAGCTATTCCCAGTCATGGGTCAAATTAAAACGAATAATGAGATGACAAATAGAGATTAGAAATGTAATAATAACAAAATAAACAGGAAGTTCGTATTAAAGAACCTAGTAGGATAATAATTATGGAGAAAGTTGATTGTTTATAATGGCCATGGTAAGGGAAAAGATTGGACGTACTTCTCTTGCATACTCGTACAGGTGGCTTTAATTTATGGTTACCTAATGCTTCAGCTATGTCTAGATGTCTTGATCTCAATCCATTTAAGAGGTTTGATCAGATCTTGTATAGGATTTTGAAAGACTTTTCAAGTAGAGTTAAGTGTCTTGAGTTCATCAGATGTTCTTTTATCGAACTATAGACATATCTACCTTCTTCTTTCGCTAACCAGGCTGGATTGTGTTAAACATCTGAAAACTGACATCCTTAAATGGAGTGGGTAGAAAGAATGAGTGAAGAATACAATCTACTATAAGCAAATTTGCAATTCCGCGGGAAACTTCTCCGCGTTTTCCTCCAATAACCGAGAATATTCAGATGACAATAAACGACCCATTCGACATATTCAAATAATGATCAAGCAAATAAGCGAAATAGCATGATAGTATAACTTAGTGATTTATATGAGTAGTGTCTTCCATATAAAATCTATCAGTCAGCAGTATTATGCTGAGTACTACTTATAATTAGATATAAGTAGTATATCAGTAAGCGAATTCAGAAAAGTAACAGTATGTTTTGGGGCACTGGAAAAAGCAGTCGAATATGCGATCTGTGAAAAAAATCCCATTGGAGTAAATTTCTGTGAAACTATATACTACTGAATGATTGAGGTGAGTAGTTTTATACCATTCACACCATCAACCAGTAGTGCTTGTTAGTAAGCTGGATCGAAGTAACCTAAACACCGGGCTGCCGTTTCACTAGTTTGGGGGCAAGCTCATCAGCACTGTATCGAGTTTGACTCAGCTGAAAGGAGAGCCGAATCAGTTCAAACCACCCGATTTCTGGTGAACTGGTGATACAATAAATCAAATTCACTTTACCAAACATAAGGTGGTCTCAGATGATTTGGCTCTCCTTTGAGCTGAGTTAAATTGAGTGGTGATGATGAGCTCGGCTGTGAATGAGTGAAACAGTCTCCAAATGTTCAGATTTGTCTAACAAGCACTACTAGTTGATGGTGTGAGTGGTATCAAACTACTCATCTCAATCATTCAGTAGTATGCAGTTTTATGCAAATATGCTTGCTTTCTTGATTACCATTTATAAAGCAGACCATATATTGGTAGAAGTAGAACTTTTCCGTGTTTTCACTGTTCTTTATAGATATTATAGCAGTTAATCTTCCATTCATCTTGAAATTTAGTCGTATAGTTTTAGAAATATAAGTATTTAACTACAATCATAGCAAGTGAGATCCACTTTCAAATTGATGTAAGGCGGCTGTAGACTCTTTCTTGACTATCATCAAATAACATAAATCCAAAGTGCATCAAGATGGCTAGTCAGCTGGCCTGCTGATGACTTTCACTAGATGACTGACTGACTATTCTCAACATAGAACTTTGCACCGATGTGCAGCGATTCGAGTTGCCACACTTCACTCAGCACATAAAGCCAGAGAAGAAAGTAGAAGAAATGCATAATAGAGACAGAAAGTTGAGGTGTGAGACAAAGGAGTAGTAAAGAAGAAAAATATAGTTTTCTTGGAAATTTTAAGTCACAAGGAGTGGATGCATCTGCGCCATTGAGAACGACTTTCACTAAGCACCAGCATTAGGAAGTAGATGTATAACACTGGTTACACTCTAGTGATCAATCGAGGTCTAGTTTTTATTAACAAAACTATTTTTATTTTTCTGAATTAACAATTGTATATGTCTTTTAACTTTTGAAAACAGGATAAATCAAAATATACAAAGAACATGGAGTTCACTATATGATTGTTATTGGTTGGTATTAACATCCACATTATCCGAATTGAATGCTTATTTACCAAGTATCAACAGTGAATGGATCGAAAAGGATGCTGTAAGTGTATGATTTTTTCTGATTTTTTTTTGAGAAATTTTATTTCCCAGGGTACCTTATCATGATTACTAATTGCATTTGAACAGACATATGATCTGTTTTTGTATTAAACAGAACAAAGTTAGGAGATGAAAATCAACAAGTTGACAGAAGAAACTGGCGACTAAGACACGATTCCAAGTATAAATAGGGAAGACGGAGATGATGAAGATAACTAACTAACCAACAGCAACAACAACAGCCAACCGAATAAATTTGGAAGAAGCCACACCCTTTATTTCAACTTTGAGAGACGCAGATGAGGATGTCAAAACTAGTCTGAATCAAAAAGGAAAGGTAAACTTTCATCAATCTGAAGTCATTTTGGAAATCTGCTGCACTCCAGAGCATAAAGAACAAGATTTCCAACACCACTGTTTAGTCAGTCCTTCTATATGGGTCGCTGGCTCCATATTGAATATCAGATGGCCGGCAAGAAAGGAGTGGTAGCAATAAACCCTGAGAACAAACCAATCGAGAACATATTGCTCAAGAAATATTCCGAAGAAAATGGAAATGGGTCGGACACACACTGTGGAGATCTTCAGGTGATATTGCTCTCCAGGCCATCAATCGAGTGCCTGTTGAATGGGAGACGACTAGTTGGGCGTATATTCAATGGGAGACATGAAGGAGGGAGATCGCGTAAGGAGGAGACGGGAACATGTGGACAGTCATGGGGCTAGTCGAAGTAGACTGCAAAAACAGGACAAAATGGGGATTTGCTAGTGACTTCCTATGTTCCACTCAGAAAGCAAGGGGATAATAATAATAGAAGGATATATCAAGCAAAAGTATGATACGAATTAGCACTGCTTAATGCTACGACAATGTATGGTTGTGGATCTATTGCTGAGGAAGTATATGTTTCTAGTTGTGATACTCATGCAGCCGTGTGGGAGTTGGTAGAGTTTACGAAGTGACGAGAAGCAGTTCTGTTTACCAGGGATCCCAAATATCATTTCACTTTAGCTGATATTAGTGTCTGAAGAAAACTAAATAGAGCTGAGGTCAAGAAATATTTGACTTTATCATGTCATATTAACTTGCGCTTCACATTCATCTAAAACAGCTTTATTCTCGACTAACTGTTTGTACAATATGCAGAATTCTCAACGAAGATCTTTGCAAAATATTTTCTCCTAATCCAAAATAGAAATCTATGGTATGTCATGTGATACATTGAGATTTCATTTGAAGCTTAAACTAATCTCTCATGATGTTTTTGCTTCATCACCAAGAAATACACACCATTAGTTTAAAAGACAATCAGAAATGTTCTTGAATACTTCGTGTAACTCACAAAGATGAATGAATGATAAGAATAATGAGAATTAAAGAGAAAATGATGCACATGGTTTAGATGAAGATTCAGATTATACAGACGTCGACTTAACCCGTTCGTTGTGTTTTGTGTCACACTAACAGTGACTTGTCGAGCAAGTTTAAGTCATGACACTACTAACTTACTGCAAAACATTAAGGAAACATGTATATATATATATATATATATATATATAAGGGAATATACACATTGCAACACTGGAATTATTAGAAAGACGGTTAAAGCGAAGAAAATTTACTTTTCGACAAAGTCATCAACTAGACTGTACATTCGTGTATTTATAGTAAATAGGTGAGAAATTTCCAGAACTATTTCCGGTCAAAGGTCAAATCAGTAAAATTGCAAAGTATAATAAAGATATAATATGATCATAATTACTGAAAAACTTGACCGTTTGTGTAAATTATGGATTCAGGACCTAGTAATAAGAAAATGGGCAGGAAGTTCGGATGAAAAACATAGTAGCGCAAATAGGACTTAAAAACCGTCAAAATAACAGAAATAAACGGGAAGATTGGATAAGAGAGGTAGTAGAATAATCAGTATTAGTGGGACTGGCTTTTCATGATGACTACGGTAGGGACGACAGTTGGACGTATTTCTTTTGAATACAAAGCGTGGGCTTCAATTCTTGGATCTCCAGTGTCTCAGCTATTCCTAGATGCCTTGATTCCACTCCCTTTTGATAGGTTTGATTGGATCTTGTATATAACTTTGAAAGACTTTTCAAATGGAGCTGAATGCTGTAGTCTTAGATGCCTTCGTCGAAAAGAAATTTTTTTCGCTATAACCGTCTTTTTAATATATATATATATATATATATATATAATATAAGTAGTAAATTAGGTGCAATATTGTATTGCATGCTGAAAATTCCACATTATATGGAACATACTGTTTGGAGTAAGGATATTATTATTGTTATTAATAAACGGTTGGTGTGGAGTGGACTTGTACAAATAGTGTGTGCAATATAAAGCCCAGACATAATTAAATATATCGCATTCTTATAAATCTAAGAGTTATTGTAAACGAACTTCCTAAAGATATTGAGATAAATAATTCCAACGTTACATTCGGTGAAACTGTTGTGAAATCCTTCAGAGAAATATGCAAATGGACGGTGATATATTGTATTTAGGCTAAATGTCCAACCATGTTTGAGTTGTAAATATTTATGGTCTTTCAATGTTTTGAACAGCACATTCAGGCGAACACTGGTATTGTGGTTTTAATTAAATCTCATCAGGATTAACTCTAATGTACCTAAGTAACTTTACAAATAAATATTTAGATATATAAACCAATCACGATTACTTATCAATAGGATGATGAGATCGTGCATATCAATTGTGCAACTAGTCATAGTGATCATAATGATTGTATCAGTAAAAAAAGATGAAAAAGTGAGGCGATCTGTGATAACAAGAGTAATGAAAAAACGTACGATCACGTTGGAAAAGAGCTAGTGGTAGTCAAACCAAAATATGGCTTCATCAGTCAATGAAATCCATAACAGTTAGTTTGAGCCAGTCACGTGGAGAGGTGTCGACTTTAGGATCTTTGGGACCATAAGGGCCAATGGCTAGAGACAATTGGTGATATAGCTAAAAATTGTTCTGCATAGGGATGGGGAGGTGCATTCACTCCTTATGATTTGTCATATCTACCCAATAAAACACTGTTGTTCTTCCATAATTTATTCAGAACAAACATAGTTATAGCGAACAATTGTCGTTTTCAATAAATTCTTCTTCAGGCTCTACAACTATAAATCCATTAATTTAAGCAAACAATAGCTAGTCACTAAAGGCAAATTAGAATCATATCAGAATTGTGTATTGTGGAACAAGTATAAGATGAGATGGAACAATAGTCATTTCGTTTTTGAATATGTATGGTCAATGAGAACATGAGATAAACTGAGATGAAATAATTTAGTGATGTATAAAGTTAAAATCCCCATAGTGTAATCAGAACAAGATAATTTTGAGCGAACAATTGTTTTTGATAAGTTCTTCTTCTTGCTCTACACAGTTATAAATCCATGAATATTATATTCGTGGGAAAATATATTTTCTATAGTTTGGTTTATTAGGGTTGGTTATGTTTTTACGAGTTGACCACGGACTGGTATCAGTTAGAGAACCATTGAAAACCAGGGAGTACTGGACAGCTGTTTCATCCTAGTTTGGGAATCATCGGTGGTGGTATTTGTATAAAATGATTGATTTTATACCAGGAGTTGTAAATCGCTCACGTCAACCAGTAATGCTTGGCGTAGCCGTAGTGATGAAGCGTTTTAAACACGGGACATCCGTTTCACTCATTTCCGACCGAACTCATCAGCAGTAGGGATATTCGGTTTGTCTCAACTGGAAGAGCTGAGTCATCAGGTGAAAATCCACCCTAGTCGCCTTTTGGCAAACACTAATCAGGAGTGAATTCCAATTACTGGTGTCATTTTTTTATTTGATTCTATTTTCGATTACAGCTTGATTCCACACCGTATTTTTGGTGCAGGTATGAAATTTTCAGCATGTGATATCGGTAGCCCAAATTTTGCAGGCCGACCATAGATATCAGGTGTGCGTCGGCAGGCGATCGAGCCCCGGACCATGTGCATGGTCGGCGAGAGTCCTAACCACTGTGCCACCGACGCACAGATCGCATATGGAGTGATGTGAGTACTTTTTATTTTCAAAAGCAACTGTAGTGAATGTTCTCCTCCTCAAACTCTGTGTGTGTAATTTGCCACTGGCGAATCAGTTTCTTTTTAGCCCTACTTAATTTTGTTTTGTTTCTATGGATTGCTTATAAAAAGTGTTTTGGAGGAAAAATTATCAGTAATGCTTTATATTTATGATGATGATTCAACGTTCTTCATTGAGAAGAAAAATATTCATTTCATTTGCATTATTTGTGTTCAGTGCGTTGACTTTAACTATTTGCAACCACTTGAGCAAAGACTGCGTCATGTGGTGATGAGCAGACAGTCGCCTTGCCGTACAGTTTGTTTGCTTACTTATAAAAAATACACTCGGAAATAGATATACATGCATAGTTGGAAGTATTGAGGATTGGCGCTCTGATCCTTTCCCAGATTGTTGAAGCACCCAGGTTTTTGGTAGTGTAAAAGAATACAAGCTTTGGATCCTAATAAGTTCTGATACCCTTATCAAGTCTTCGTTCAACTATTATTTAGTATATCATCTTAACATGGTAATCCGATCTGTGAAGCTTTCTCTAGAATACCTTTCGATGTACATTTAAGGATAACCATTCTTAGATAAAATATTCTTCAGGGTCTGACGAAATCAACTTTGTTAAGTATGCCGATGATCTAACTATTTCAATGTCTGTTAACTCCCAGCTAGACTGTACTAAGATGAACAGCTTCATATCAGGAATTAGCAGATGGTCTTCGTCTAACGGCCTTAAACTAATTCCTTCCAAATGTCAGACTGTTAATTTCAGTTTCCGATGTGAACGGTAGTTAAATGAAGCCGTTGGTTCCTATGACCCTTGAAAAATTGATGATACTGATATAGAAACCGAGTCTGAAGTTAAGTATCTTGGATTATTCAAATGTTGGTTTGTAGGGATTTGACTGGTTACAGGATTTTCATCATGAGCTGACATTAGTTGGAGAACCATTGGAAAACCTGGGAGTACTGGACGGCTGTTTCGTCCTAGTTTGGGACTCTTCAGCGGTACGCACCCACCGGGATTCTTGGATTAATTCTTTCTTCTGACCTATCCTGGTCTTCCCATGTCTTAGCGATTTCTAAAAGAATATTTCGTCTGACTTTTTACATTGAGAAGTTAGAGCACTCAGGCATAACCCAACCACTCCTCTTACAGTTTGTCAACTCGTGTATTTTACCTATTCTTCTTTACTGTTCATCCTTATTCTTCCCTGGATTGCTTAAAAACGACTATGCCATACTTCGTAGAACTCTAAAGACTGTCAGTAGAACGAGTGGTATCCCATTGGTATCGTTGACATTGTCACCGATAGGCACTTGATGTCATGCAACATATCTGCTAAAGGAATTTTGTCAGACTGTGAGCACCCACTCTACCCGCAGCTCCAACCTTGTGTCTCCTCAGGTAAAACAAGAAATTTTTTCAGAAGACTTTATGCACGTACGTCTAAGTATAAAAATTCCAGTATACCATATTTAGCACGAACTTTATGTGATGAAAATAGTGTCAGGCATGAACTAACTAACGTTCTTTGCACCACTAAATAAACCATTTCCTCCACCCTTACAGCATCAAGCTCTATTGTTATTGTATTTCTTATGTTTATAATCCTCTCAATATTTTTGTTTTTGTTTATTTTTTTAATAAGTGTGAACATCATTTAAGCTGTGTTATAACTATTAATTTTGTACTTCCCCTCACCATACTGCTATATCAACAAAACATAATAATAATAATAATTTGCTTTATTCCAGAAACAGTACTAGTGGTACAGTGTGGAATTTTCAGCACATATCTACAATATTTGCATCTAATTTTACAAACATTTAAAAGGAGTATTTAACAAAAAAAAATAAATCTGAAGACACCAACAGCAGAAAAAAACAAAAAAACAGAATAACATTAGACTCAATAAAATGCTAAAATTTCCAAACTGAATCGACAATACTGTCTGAAACAAACTCACTGTTATTATTAATATTATTATTACTCTTAAATTTATCCTATATTTAACATTTTCAATTCGTGCTTCGAATATTTTTGACTTTATATCGTAAATGTGGACAAATTCCTCTGGTTAATTTTGTTTTAATTTTATTTATATTTTATGTAAATCAGATGCAATATTGTGACAAATGCTGAGAATTCCATTCCGTATTATAAGTACTGCTACTAGAATAAAGTAGATTATTATCATTGTTCTGTACTCAATTGTACTGTCAAAACAAATTTTCCATACTCGATTGAACAGTATTCCGACTAAGTTCTTTTTATACTGGGGGTGGGGTGGGGAACAAAACTCTTAAAATGTCTATATACTGTCCCTTCCATAAAGACTTTCTATTTGTTCCTATCAATCCTTTTCACTACGTAGTATCATTTCCGTCGTGTTTTATTGTGAGGTTAAAATTAGGATAGCATGGGGTGGATTCCACCAATAAATTTTGATTTTGTGATTTTTACAGTCACAGATAATTCAATTATCCACATATCTTAGATATTAGAAATCCGTCGGTTGTGTGTATATGTTGTCAGATAATAGTCAGCTTCTAGGCGTGACAAGAACGTGTTTGTAAAGAGTTTTCCATTGCACCATCATTAACTTAACGGCCGTCCAATTGTAGTTAGATATCTTTAGTATGTAGAAGTAGCAGTTATCTTAGTTTTATTGTTAGGATTCTCCACTCGCATGATGAAGGATTTGCCTAAGTGGTTGAAAATAAGACTGAAATTATCATATCAAAAGGTTCCGTAACAAATCACTTTATCAAATCGACTATGGATATGGTGTTATTGACACTGTGAAGTTATTCACTGTTGTGGGCAAACAAATGAAATAGGAAATTGCTTGCATTCGCGTAGGTTTGTGCAATTAAGGTTTATGCACACGGTCTCTGTGCAATATTTCTTCTAGTGATGTCATGTACACTGGACTTACTCACATGTGGGGTGGTAACTTGTGTTTTTGGCTATACTGTATGTATTAAAATGCTAACTCTTAGTATTTCTTTTTAATTTTTACAATTGATAACCAACAAATGTCAGCATACATTTATCCATCTATGAGTAGTTGATTCTTTATTTTATAAGGAAAGCTCCTTTGGACTCGCTTTTCTTGATATAAATTAACCAACAGAAGAGATCTAGCCCAAATATGACATTATTATTATTATTATTATTACTCATTGTTGTTGTTTAGGTGAGAAGACTTCAAGAGCATGATCGTCGTCTACAGCGTGAAATGTCACGAATGGTATCAGCTCATGAACGTCAACAAGCTGTATTGAAGCGTCGTATTGAAGTCGCAGCAGCTGCTGAACGTCGACTCAAGGAATTGTTGTTACGCCGGAAAGACGTGAAACAGGAATGTATTAAACGATTATTTTATTATTTATTATTATTTTTACAGGATTGGGTTGCTAGCCTCATGCCCAACCTTCACTCCTTACCAGTCTTATTACTGGCTTAGCGAGGTATACGAGTGAGTTGGCTGGGGGTCGATGCCGTGATCATATGAATGCCAGTGACTCACTCCTTCATGTTGTGGTCATCTGGTATAATTGCACGAATAAAACAATAAGAAATACAGGATATTTTAAACACTTTCACGGTTGGAAATTCTGGTAGCTCAGTGAGTAAAGCAGGCCTCCTTGAGTCTGCTTTTAACTCACAGCCCTATTACTGTCGAGATATCTAGTTAAGTATTCATCAGAGTTCATATAAATTTATTAAATATTTGCTTCAAATGTTATTCAGAGGGCTTCCATCTGTTTTATTTTTGTCATTGCGGATAAAGTTTCTTTCATTTGTTTGACTTCATCATCAACACCATCTTCACTACAAATTCTCCAGACTCGTGTTGAGAGAGAACGGATTAGATTTCTTTTTCTATCTATGGGAATACTAACCACGCAGCATCTGACACATTATTTGATATAGTCTACAAAGTCCCATTAAGTTTGCCGAAAGGGACATGAGCACATTTGCTTTGTATAGTAAAGGTTTTGCCAATACATAAAATAAAACCAGAACTTTGTGTACAAAAACAATTTGAACGATCTCTATCGTCACCATGTTCTTGATTGTACTATGTAATTCACATAACAACTTTGTTATGCTTCTTTATTCCATGTTCCACTTTTGTTTTATTTCATTTCACTTTGTGTTATCATATTCTAACATTTTATCTAGTTTCATGTTTTGACAACATTTCACTCATTTTATGTCTCCATCATATTTTTTTCATATATTCACATTTCTGAATGTGCTTTTTATATATCTAATCAATTGCTACTCATAATCCCATACACCAATATTATTGCTGCACTTTAAATTATTTCCACTCACTATCATACTTTAACACACACCCACACACAAGAAAACTGATTGTTATTGTCCATTATAATTCATATATATATATATATATATATACGATTGTACAGCTATGAAAATGAATTCATCGAGAAGAGAATTCTCTTCTTGTGACCAGTAAGGTGCAGCAGTTCGAGTATGAGGACAAATACTCTCCGAAGACATTGGCTAGCGGTCGCACTATGTCGTGAATCGGCAGAAGTTAGAATTCATGGGCCTTCGAATTAGGTCCCAGTGGCCTAATAGTCTGCGATCTAGCTCGTCTTGTAACCGAAGGGTCTTGGATTAGAACCCCGAAGGGTGCGTACTGTTGAAGAGTCCCACGCTAAGACGAATCAGCTGTTCAGTACTCCCTGCAAGTTTTCCAATGGTTCCCTAAGTGATGTCAGCTCATGATGAAATCCTGTAACCAATCATTGGGGTTTATTAATTTAATGAGCCAATAGTAATGTATCATTCATGGATTTATCCATTCATATTACACCTGGGCACTGCCAGTGTTGACTGCAGAGAAATAATTGCATCTTTGATATTCTTAAGTCTATCAACTAAGTTGATAACTCATCGAAATATTAATATAGAGGTGGCTTTTCGACATCTGCAGTGACCCTAGAATTTCATTGCGTCTTCAATGATCAAACGCAACTGAAGGATATTTTAGCTAAGAATAAATATCCTCAGAAGTTCATGAATAAATACTTGAAGGAAATGAGCCTCCGTAAAACTATCCAAACAGTTCTGAAGAAATCCGTCCATATCAATTTGCCATTTAAAGGCAATGATGTAAAAGAGGTAATCAAACGAAGCCTAAATAAAGCTATCAAGAGAACTTATTGTGCTGCAAAACTCATCTTCATTGAAACCACTACTGCCACTAAGTGAGTGCTTCAGCCAACTCCATCGTATCGCTTACCCAATGCAATTTAACTCGACGATCTGTCTTCTTAGTGTGTAATTCATATTCTCTTTATTTCTGTATTAATATATATTGCCAGAGATGATGAAAATTGTCATGCTTTTGTTGTTGTTTTTCAACTAATTCTTCACCTTTATTTTGTTTTGTTTTCCAGAATGAATTACTAAATTCTCGACAGCCTGGTACACCAATACCTCGACAAAGCCATAATCATAATATTAATGATTCATTCATTTTATCATCAAGTAATACTAATGATGATAAAAATACTAATGGACACTTAACAAATAATAACCATAATATATCACCTGATTTTATTAATAAACGTTCACATATCAATTGTAATGCTACTGATTCAGATGAACCTGAAAGTAAAGTTATAAAATCTGAAAGTGAATGGAATCCTCGTTTCAAAGGAGACAAAGAAAACACTAATGTAAGTAGTATATGTATGTGTTAACACACACAAGTTTCTCTTAGACTTGTATTTTACTTGATCGTTATTTAATACAGTTTGTTTAACCGCTTAAGCAGGATTTTAACTAAATTCACTTTCAGCTAGACGTGAAAAGACTGGCTAGTTGTCTTTAAGATCATAGTGTCTGGGTTCGATCTCTCGTGTGAAGTGGTATAATAGGGTGGGCAATATTGAGGTTAGGCTACGGCCGAGTGTTAGGTGAGTTGGAAGGGAAATCAAACGACGAGGTTGTCAAGCGACATCGAATGAGATAGTTGTGACATGTGTTGCGCATGCCTAGCCATCGCCTTCCTCCACGGGCATTGTTAACTGACATAGGATCGATGAGGTTGGAAAAGAGCTAGTAGTGGTTAAACCAAAAGAGGGCTTCATCAGTCAATGAAATCCGTGACAGTTAAAGCCAGCCAGCCAAGCACGCAGGGATGTGTAGACTGGCTGTCTGCCTGATTGGGGTGGTCGGGATGGTAAGAATCAATGAAGACTGGAGAAAATTGGTGATATGGCTGAAAATCGTTCTCGGTGATGGCTGGCGCAGATGCATTCACCCTTTGTGATTTGTCGTATCCAGTAAAACTATCGTTTCCCTTACTCACACTTGTGTTTATTGTCTCTGTTTTGAATCTCTCTCTACTCTTTTCTTTGGCTTTATGTGCTACACGGAGACAGTGTCGATCGCGAGGTGATTTGGCATGAAAGATAGGAAGGACTTCAGGTAAACATAGACAAAACAGAGGTGATGAAGATTCTTGGCCAACAGCCACAGCAGCAGCAACAGACAACAATCAGCCAGCATAAATGGTATAAATCTGAAAGAAGCAACCTCCTTCACCCACTTACTTGGGAAGCATCGTTTCAGCTACGGGAGGACAGAACTGGTAAGGAAATCAAGGCGAGGATCATCGGAAAAGCAAGGCAAATTTCCATTTCTCTCTAATCTGTGTGGAGGCCAACAACACTCAGCATGAAAAATAAGATCCGGATTTTCAACTCCAATGTGAAGTCAGTGCTACTTACTATACGGATCAGAGACTTGTACTGCGCGTCACGAAGGGCGCTTCGAACAAACTACAGACCTTCATCAACAACTATCTTCTCCCAATACTCAAGATTACATGGCCGACCAGAAAAGATCAGCAACAGGGATCTCTGGGAGCGAACCAACCCGGCAAGAATAGATTGTGCAACAAATATGCAAGAATAAGTGGAGGTGGATTGGATTGGCCATACTCTGAGAAAGGAAACCGTCAAGTGAGTGACATCACACGCCGGGCCATCGCTCGAGTGGAACCTGAATGGGAAGTGGCGAGTTGGTCGTCAGTGTGAGGGTGACATGGAGGAGGTCATGTGTAGGGGAGATGAAAGCATGTAAGCAGACGTGGAGCCAGGCAAAGACGTTGTTAGAGAAGCGAACGCACTGGAGACGCACGGCTGAAGCCCTATGTTCCTCTAGGAACTAAAGGAAGCAATAATAATAAGTTTAAAATATGGCCACCATTCTAGATGGCTCACCATCACGACGCACTGCACTGTGAATTGTTTATGTATTAGATGGTTGGAGGCTAAAGGCGGGAAGCTTTGTCTGACCTAGGTTTCGGGTTAGTTGTCACTCACCAGTCAGCAAGGCGTATCTGCACTTTTGAGGGGACTCAACTCCCCTCTGAGATTCGAACCGATGTTACCCAGTGTGCCGCAGTCAGAGACGTTACTAGCCACGATTCACCTCCTGTAGGACGATGTCGGATACTTTTGATTGGACACTAGTTAGTAACCAGTGTAATGTGTCCAGCCGTTTGCTTAGTCATGGATAGACTTATCCATCTATGAGTAGTTGGTTCTTTATTTTATAAGGAAAGCGCCTTTGGACTCGCTTTTCTTGATATAAATTAACCAACAGAGGAGATCTAGCCCAAATATGACATTATTATTATTATTCATTGTTGTTGTTTAGGTGAGAAGACTTCAAGAGCATGATCGTCGTCTACAGCGTGAAATGTTACGAATGGTATCAGCTCATGAACCTCAATAAGCTGTATTGAAGCGTCGTATTGAAGTCGCAGCAGCTGCTGAACGTCGACTCAAGGAATTGTTGTTACGCCAGAATGACGTGAAACAGGAACGTGATAAACGTCCATCAGAAGTTAATAATCCTAAAAGGTGAGTTAGTATCTTTGTGTTGTAATGACAAGTTGTAACCAGTTGGTTACAGTTTTGAGCTCACACCTCAAACCTGTACCCAACTGGTTACAACTTGTCATTACAACACAAAGATACTAACTCACCTTTTAGGATTATTAACTTCTGATGGACGTTTATCACGTTCCTGTTTCACGTCATTCTGGCGTAACAACAATTCCTTGAGTCGACGTTCAGCAGCTGCTGCGACTTCAATACGACGCTTCAATACAGCTTATTGAGGTTCATGAGCTGATACCATTCGTAACATTTCACGCTGTAGACGACGATCATGCTCTTGAAGTCTTCTCACCTAAACAACAACAATGAATAATAATAATAATGTCATATTTGGGCTAGATCTCCTCTGTTGGTTAATTTATATCAAGAAAAGCGAGTCCAAAGGCGCTTTCCTTATAAAATAAAGAACCAACTACTCATAGATGGATAAGTCTATCCATGACTAAGCAAACGGCTGGACACATTACACTGGTTACTAACTAGTGTCCAATCAAAAGTATCCGACATCGTCCTACAGGAGGTGAATCGTGGCTAGTAACGTCTCTGACTGCGGCACACTGGGTAACATCGGTTCGAATCTCAGAGGGGAGTTGAGTCCCCTCAAAAGTGCAGATACGCCTTGCTGACTGGTGAGTGACAACTAACCCGAAACCTAGGTCAGACAAAGCTTCCCGCCTTTAGCCTCCAACCATCTAATACATAAACAATTCACAGTGCAGTGCGTCGTGATGGTGAGCCATCTAGAATGGTGGCCATATTTTAAACTTATTATTATTGCTTCCTTTAGTTCCTAGAGGAACATAGGGCTTCAGCCGTGCGTCTCCAGTGCGTTCGCTTCTCTAACAACGTCTTTGCCTGGCTCCACGTCTGCTTACATGCTTTCATCTCCCCTACACATGACCTCCTCCATGTCACCCTCACACTGACGACCAACTCGCCACTTCCCATTCAGGTTCCACTCGAGCGATGGCCCGGCGTGTGATGTCACTCACTTGACGGTTTCCTTTCTCAGAGTATGGCCAATCCAATCCACCTCCACTTATTCTTGCATATTTGTTGCACAATCTATTCTTGCCGGGTTGGTTCGCTCCCAGAGATCCCTGTTGCTGATCTTTTCTGGTCGGCCATGTAATCTTGAGTATTGGGAGAAGATAGTTGTTGATGAAGGTCTGTAGTTTGTTCGAAGCGCCCTTCGTGACGCGCAGTACAAGTCTCTGATCCGTATAGTAAGTAGCACTGACTTCACATTGGAGTTGAAAATCCGGATCTTATTTTTCATGCTGAGTGTTGTTGGCCTCCACACAGATTAGAGAGAAATGGAAATTTGCCTTGCTTTTCCGATGATCCTCGCCTTGATTTCCTTACCAGTTCTGTCCGCCCGTAGCTGAAACGATGCTTCCCAAGTAAGTGGGTGAAGGAGGTTGCTTCTTTCAGATTTATACCATTTATGCTGGCTGATTGTTGTCTGTTGCTGCTGCTGTGGCTGTTGGCCAAGAATCTTCATCACCTCTGTTTTGTCTATGTTTACCTGAAGTCCTTCCTATCTTTCATGCCAAATCACCTCGCGATCGACACTGTCTCCGTGTAGCACATAAAGCCAAAGAAAAGAGTAGAGAGAGATTCAAAACAGAGACAATAAACACAAGTGTGAGTAAGGGAAACGATAGTTTTACTGGATACGACAAATCACAAAGGGTGAATGCATCTGCGCCAGCCATCACCGAGAACGATTTTCAGCCATATCACCAATTTTCTCCAGTCTTCATTGATTCTTACCATCCCGACCACCCCAATCAGGCAGACAGCCAGTCTACACATCCCTGCGTGCTTGGCTGGCTGGCTTTAACTGTCACGGATTTCATTGACTGATGAAGCCCTCTTTTGGTTTAACCACTACTAGCTCTTTTCCAACCTCATCGATCCTATGTCAGTTAACAATGCCCGTGGAGGAAGGCGATGGCTAGGCATGCGCAACACATGTCACAACTATCTCATTCGATGTCGCTTGACAACCTCGTCGTTTGATTTCCCTTCCAACTCACCTAACACTCGGCCGTAGCCTAACCTCAATATTGCCCACCCTATTATACCACTTCACACGAGAGATCGAACCCAGACACTATGATCTTAAAGACAACTAGCCAGTCTTTTCACGTCTAGCTGAAAGTGAATTTAGTTAAAATCCTGCTTAAGCGGTTAAACAAACTGTATTAAATAACGATCAAGTAAAATACAAGTCTAAGAGAAACTTGTGTGTGTTAACACATACATATACTACTTACATTAGTGTTTTCTTTGTCTCCTTTGAAACGAGGATTCCATTCACTTTCAGATTTTATAACTTTACTTTCAGGTTCATCTGAATCAGTAGCATTACAATTGATATGTGAACGTTTATTAATAAAATCAGGTGATATATTATGGTTATTATTTGTTAAGTGTCCATTAGTATTTTTATCATCATTAGTATTACTTGAGCTCGCCTTATATCCGCCGGGGCCAAACCCTGGCGACTGCGCACTGTTGCGTAGTCCCTGACTAGGACGAAACAGCTGTCCAGTACTCATTAGTTTTCCAGTGGTTCTGTAACTAATGCCAACTCGTGGTCAAACCTGAGAAGAACAATAAGCGCTCCAATGCACCAACATTTATTTGACTACGATTATATATTATATTATTATTATTATATTATATTGGATGTGGATTAGTGAAGATTTTCCGGGATTTTGCAATATGGCAAATAGTGAATATATTTGCGCCATTCTATGGTCGATTTTCATTTATGTCACTAGGTGCCTCCCGAGAACTGTATGCGGACGAATGACCCGCAAGTACCCATACGATTCCATACCTATTGTGAATCGGTGTCATATTTCGTAGGTAAAGGCCGTTGACTAGGCGTGCGTAGTACTTTCCTGCCTGTTAGTACTCTTAAGAAAGGTGATAGACTGCACGATACAGATGTCAAAGTTCATATCTTGATTTTATGGAACTGTGTTCTATTTTTCACGCTTGAAACTATTGATAGTGTGATAGGGTTGGATTCTAACATACAAACCTAAACCTACTCCAGGACAAACTCTGCAGGTCAAAAAAATCCTATTGTGAACCGATTGAATAGAAAGAAATTTAATCTACAAATTGTCTTGTGATGATTGTAAGGCCAATCCAGGAGGTCAGAATCTGTTAGGTTATTGGTATATTGCAGTTCAGCGAAGTGTAAAATGATCAACCCAAAAAGTTGACTGACTTAGAAAAACAACTTAGCAGTTGTAATGGACCCACTAACACATTAATCACGTAATGAGGTTGGCTAGTGTCACGGTTTTGTAAGCTAAGTTGGGGGAGGAGGTGAGCAATTGATCACTGAACCTTTGTCCCTCGAACATTGATACAATAGGAGTGGCACCAAAATTAATGTGCCAGAGGTATAGAAAATATTATTGACTACAAAATCATCGTATAGGAAACAACGGCACTATATAATAAGTGGAACTCGAAAGTTATATTAGTAGTACCGTGATACGATAATGGGCGATAGATTGTGCTCGAAATTTGACGAGTATGAGACTGTCAGTTGGTGGTACTCTGTCAGACAGTCAGATACACTGATACAAATACACAAACGAAGAGATAGAGACAGAGAATCAGCAAATTGTCTTGATGTGAGTCAAAATCGACTTGTTCGAAAATCAGTATTTTGTTTGAGATTGAGGTGAATACGATTTGTTCAATTAATGGAGGAATTGGTTAAATGAAAGGCAGGTATCTGTGTGTGTGTGTGTGTGTGTGTGGTTGAGGTGATGTGTAAGTGGATAGAAAATTAGAATTATCGCGTCACATTGTTCATGAGTTTGTGCTTGTGTCCATGTGTAGATATGCGATTCGGTGTATTTATTTGAGGGAATTTGTGCTGGAGAATTTTAGTGAATATTTGTGTGTCAATGTGTGATTAATTTGTTGTTGGGTAGTGTGTTCTATGCAAAAAGGTTATGATATTAGGTTGGAAGTGTATCAGTGATTTGATTACTCTGGTTCGTATGTGATGTTTGTAAAAATCTCTGGCTCCAAAGGGGATCGAACCCTCGACATTCGCGTTATTAGCACGACGCTCTAACCGACTGAGCTACGGAGCCGGACATCAACCTCATTGCATCCATTCCCACAACAACGATTCAAAATCACATCTCAGCCACCACAACACAGCTCATATCTATCCCGTCCATCCATTACATTCCACCGCCATACTATATCTGCCCACCCAGTCAGCGGAATTCATCACAAACACTCATACACCATTCGCACAACCACTCACCACCGACCAACACACTCAGTCTTCTGCCCCTGGACACTGACAGCACGGTTGGTTCTAATCAGTTCAAGTATGACACCCCGTGCACGCACACAGAAACAAACTTAAAATGACACTTCTACTCACAGTCGGACTTAGACTGATAGTCATGGATTGATTGGTACATAGTGTAATGGCAGTGTTGATGATATAAGGATTGGAAGAATTGATGCAGTCGTGGGCGGATGGGTTTCAGAGGGAGCGAATAGATGGAGACCTGAGAGGGAAATGATTCTGGTAACAGATGTATGTTGTATTAAATCTGGAGGATAGACAAATTTTAGAGGATTATGGTGGTAAGATGGAGAAGGTGGCAGGTAAGTGTTGTTTGCCTCATATTTTGTTCCACTCATATATTACTAATGAGTCTCCCCGTGATTATTGTAACTTCCACTCAAATTATTCTCCATTTTGATATCATTATAAGTTTTCACCTTCCTTTTATTTGTCTTCTTCGCCTTCATCCCAAGCTTCGTCCTCCTCTGTATGTTTGTCAACTTCTTCACCTCCCTTATCTTAATATTGTTCATTTCATTTTCGTCATTGTCATTGTTATGCTTATTAATAATAGTTTGTGATTATTTCATTGATTATCATTATTTTTACTATCAGGATTATTTTAATTTCTTCTGTATTTATTGTCATCCTGTGGACTGGTTTATTGCTGTGACCCGAAAGAACAACTCCAGTCGAAAGATAAATCATTGGGCAATTGAAAAATCACAATAGTAAATTACAAAAAGCCCTACAGGTTGCGCTTATCTCCAGTCTGAATGCATTCACAGTAAGTTGAATACTAGTTTATTATCATTTTGTGTTAGTATTATTATTATTATTATTTTCAACATCTTCATTCTTTGATCACGAGTGTGACACCAGTTGGAGAGAACCATTGGAAAACGAGTTGACATTCATGCGCTGCTCTACTACTCTTGCATTTAATATTCACTAGTTTGTACTATTCATCGGACTGGTGAGTCATCTTCACTTCACTCTGTGACCACAAACAAC